CTTTGCAATGCCAACATTGATCCAGAACGAACAGTATTGCCTGCGAGACTTGCTTAGTTCGGAGAACACAGTGGCAGAGAGCACTACAGTAGACCACGAAAAGACATAACATGACAGGCCAAAAGAGAAGGCAATACAACCGCTAATCCCGAAAGCTTTGTCGAGGATGCGAAATTCTCAGCTATTCCTAAGCTCCTCGAAGGTTTCCAGTTCGACGAGGATTCTCGAGGCGAATTGCGCACGGTCGAGGTGCAGGAGTTGTGCAACATGCGCGGGTGTCATTGCCTGCAACGGCGAGCCGTGTGAAGCTTCCGAAATGTTCGTGTTGTAACCGAAGTCTGGCACGACTGGTGCTTCAATCCGCCTTATCTCGCATGCTGCATAAGCAGATAATCTGATTGACTGCAGGAGTCTCGTTCCAGGATCTCTGCGACTCCGTGCGTGGCAGTACCATTGAACGTACGCTGTCTGCGTCCTGCAACCAAATCGCGAAAGCCATCACGAGCGCACAGTCCTTTCCGTTTAGACCACGCTGTCTGCTGACTTTCTGACGACTTAATTGGCTTTCGCCGAAGGCGTCGGCGCAACACGCACAGCTGTCGTGTGGAATTAATCCACTCGAGTCTCTGCCGCAACGTGAAAACCTGGAGTACGGAAGTGGCCCGAGGATCAAGCACAAGTCATGGGAGCTGTCGACTGAGCCGATAGTATCCGAGGGGGGTTTCGTGATGGAGCGATGCGTGCATCTTGTTCCATCTTGTCCAGCTCTTCTTTCACATCTTTCTCCGCATCAAGGGCTCGCCGCCGCGCATAACAGGAGCAGATCGCGTGACATCTAAACCTCTCCCTCTCTGATATACCGTATACCAGCCTTGCGTGTGTGGTTGCCTCGTAATACGCTACGTCGATGGAGACGCAGATACGCAGTAACGGCGAAAGATGATGCTGGGCGTCCAGACATACCAGTCAGCGACTTTCCTCTGCCGAGGTCAGCTCACAGCGCCAGCTATATTTTCGCAGACTTCCATGCTGGTTTCGACAAGCTGCACTTTTCTCTGTCGCCTGCACCGAGACTCCTTACATTCCCTTCCATTCCCATGCCAGTGCCGCGAACGGATCCACTGAAACCGAGACTCCTTGTCCACATGCACCGATCGCGGCATTGTAGGTGACAATGTCTCTCTTGAGCCTGCGAAGGCTTACTGTAGCTGTTGCTGCGGCTGCTTTCGACTAGCTCTCTCCATGTGGCCGGCCTCGCGGACGCGCAGGACTCAAAAAGGTCGAGCGCCTTTGCAGCTGCGTTGCAGCTGTGCTAGCGGTGCGTTACTCTATGTTAGTGCCAAGCTACCTCTTTCAATATCACACACTCAAAGCAAAGGCCCAACTCTTGAGCGTTGACCATCTACCACTGTTTTGCCGCCCTTGCTTGCGAGCGTGTCTACTTGCATCAGGTCCATCTGCACATGCGACGTCTGCGCCTTCTGCCACTCTCCTCCTTCATGGCAAGAACTGATGGCCTTCCACGGCGCGAGGCAAAGACTTGTGCATTGTGTGTGTGTGTGTGTGTGTGTGTGTCTGTGTCTGTGTTGCCAAGCCGAACGGTTTTCCGTGGAATGCTCCATACCGAGGCCTCTGGAGGGCCTACTAGAGGGGTAGAGAGTACAGAAGGAGCGGGAAGGAGTAAGTTGCCGGACCACTGAAACCTGTGCTTTGCTGCTATGAGAAAGGATCACTTGCAGCCAGCGACGGCATTGAAGGTGATGAGGTTTTTGGCCACCGCAGCTAGGTCCTGCCAATGCAAGTACGACTCTTTACGCTTGATCGCAAGAGCTTCTGGCAAGCATCGCAGAATAATTGAATATTCGTCATACAGGTATGCCCGGGCACCATTGAGTGTAGGAGCCCCAGCGCTTGTGCCCACTCGCCGCGATTTGCACACGCAGCGATGGCTGCACAGAAGAGAACGGTATCTGGAGAGACACCTTGTCTACCACTAGCTGCAGGCTCCAGCAAAGACATGCTAATTTTAAGGGTTTCATGATTTCATGATGCCAAGCAGCTCATTGGCCTCGAGGCCTGGGGCAGAAATGCATGCAAGTGTATGAGGGACATGTGTAACAATGGAACACGTGAGCGACGCCATAGGACGGACTCATGCTGAACTGACATGAACCTGGCGGCTTGAAGAAGGGCGACTGCTTCTAGCCATGCAGATGCTTTCTCGCACGCGCTGACGACACCACTTAATGCAACTTCGTTGATGGGAACTTCCGTGAGCCCCATGTGGTTCAAGATGTGCAATGCCTGCGATATGCTGCACGGATGAACCCTCCGTTGCCAAAGCGAACAAACCTGTTCTGTCATGCCATGCTTTCTTTATTCGGTACCTGTGTCCATTCGCCCTTCCTGGCACATGCGCTGATTGCAGCACCTAGGTATTGTGGCTTCTCCGCCCCTCGACCACTTTACGCTCTCGCAACTCGGACACGCCTGACGAGGTCTCTGGTGCAATGTGCTTTGACGGTCGGTCTCTACAGATCTGTGAAAGAGCTGTGGAAAAAGCTATGCTAGTCTGTGCCAGGCAGCTGCACGAGATGGTGTTCACCTGTATGCTTTCTGTTGCCATAGCATCGAGCAGATTCAATGCCTGGGTCCTGCATGTACAGTCGCCAATGCCAACACTTGTCTTTGACGGGTACGAGTGCCGCACAAGATCTTAACAGCCTGCCCAGCATGAACGACATCGTAAGTGATATTAAGTGATGTTGTGGGGTAGATTCAATGCACTGCTTTGCTAAGACCCGTGCCAGGCCGTGCCCTTTTCACATGCACTGATCGCGGCACTGTATGACACGCAGCTGGCTTCTAGGCGATCCTCCTCACGATTCGCGATGCTGCAGTCACCATGGGCCAAGACAAGATGCAAGTGCAGAAAAGTTATGTCCTGCAAAACACTCAGTAAACGAAGCGCCAGTTGCCAGAGGCCCGCTTTTTCGCAAGCAGATATGACCGAATTCACGGCGACGGTGTCCAGTTCCATTGTAGAGCTGCGCATTGATTTCAGAAGCACCAGGGCCTGTGAGACATCTTCAGATCATTTTTATTCATTTCCCAACAGAGAAGGGACAGAGAAAGACATTAACATGACCCAGCGAAGAACCTCAACCGACACTGTTGAAGACATGCTTGCGAATCTCTGTCAACTGTTCAGCCTCCACCCACTTGCCCCCTTTCTCGCAGGCTGTTATGGCGCAGCTCTGCGCGATCACATTGCTCTGGACTGACTGGTGTTCCATGTTTCGCAGAAGGACCAAAGCAGCATCCCAGCCACTGTTCTGGGCAAAAGCGCGCAGCACGGCTGCAAAGTGAAACACGTTCCTCGGCTCTACAGGACAGCTGACAAAACTTTCACAGATTGTACACAAATCGCATTCAGCAATGTCAGGCGTAGACAGCAAGAGCTCAACGGCTCAACCATGCGACAATGAGCATCAAGGCATGATATACGCACAGCGCAAGTTCTGGCCAAAGCTCGCCTCCAGCCCAACTTCCTGGCAGCACCTGAGCTGGGGCTCAGGACTGGGCTCAGGAACCTGACCACAGCCAATAGAACCTTGTTTCCACCTGCTGATGAGACAATGCTAGATGCTGAATGCTGAAGCCTCGGACATGAAATGCTTGCATGCTCACATATGCTCACTGCACTCTATTCAATTTTTCGAGAGAACTGAAGCCTAGCGTGCATGCCGGCAAGTCGGACCAGTCGCGGATCGACAAGAGATGGCCCGAAATTATCCGAAATCACTGTCAATTTTGAGCACCACTGGGGCACGCGCTGCAAAAACGCCAATGCAGCTTCGCTCTTGCCTGCCTCCCAAAATCATTCAACACGACAACACGTTGATGTGGGTTGAGAAGCCCGCTTAACGTCATCGACTCCTTCGCCAGCTTGCTGAGGAGCCGTGTTGTAGCCCGCGCATCCGGAGCAAAGTGCATGAGCGTGTCGCCCAGGAGCCTGTGCATGCGACATGTGTCATCCATTGGAGAACTGCTGCCCCAAGCCATGGCACGTCTCTAAGAATGCTGCCCTGCACTGCTATATTAATATCGAGTTGCACAACTCGAGGCTACGTCCGGGCAGCCCAACTGACGATAATTGGCAATGCCCTGTGCTCGTGGTCGCAACAAAAACTCCAGGATCCTCTACAAGCGTGGCTAGTCTCGGTCCAACCGCAGCCGGTTGAGGCAGGTCGCGTATGGTAGCGTGACATCCTTTCACTTTTCAGTTTCCTTCCTTCTTCCGAAGCAGTCAACCTCCTGTGCCGTAATTGTGGATTCGCACATAGCGGCCATGCAGAAGTCCAAAGCAGGCCTTGGAATGCCGTCGAACACCTTCATCATGCATCATGCATGGCTACTTCGGCAACCTGGACCCAGCTGCACCTCCGGATTTCGTCGGCAGTCTGCGGCGAAAACTGTATCAATCTCTCGAGAGACTTTACCTCATAGTGGGAAGAAGTGCCGGTATTTTCGACGGCCAAACAGGTCGGGGCCATGGCAACCACACATTGCCACGAGGTGCAGGATGGAATGTCCGATCACTGGCTCCTGCCACTTGAGCCTGCATGCTGTTCATGGATGGGCTCGGTGGGTTACAATACAAGGACACCGGGTGCCACAGCCGAGCCCGGAGTCTGTTCCTGGCTTGAACCCTGCCATCTCCTGCAAGTTCCAACCAGAGAAATGCGGGCGAGCTACAAGTTGTGGAGGTGTGCGAGCTTGTTCGCTCTGCGGCGGTTGCAACCGCCAGCCGCCCACACGTGCTTGCAAACATGTATCAAGAGTGCAATGTTGTAGTTGGGATGCAGCTTCCGCACGAAGGTAACTTGCAGGGGAGCCTTAAAGTTGTTTTGATGATGTGTGCATCCCTGACGTTGCAGCGCCTGCGCCAAGGCCTCTCCAGGCGGGATTGCGACATCGAGCTTACACTCTGCACAATCGTAATCAATATTTACATTCAACGCTCTCGAATGCTTCGCCAGGCACGCCCCATTTTTATGACGTGGACAGCCAGCCACGGGTATCCAAAACAGCAAATGATCATTTTACGGCGATGGATACGCTGTCAGGTACGATTAATTAAACGATACGATTTGGATATATGTATTTGGATGCACGCCCAAACTAGGGATACACTTTCCGATACACATTCCAACGCTGCAGACAGCACTTCAAACCCAATGCTTGACAGGATTATGGTGACAATGCTCCGTGTTACCGGTAAGCGTAGCTCACGACTTCTTGCGCCACGGGTGCCACAGAAAACGGATCTGGTCGCTCGAGGCTGCTTTCAGGCCCTTGGACGGACACGTGTGACACACACGCCATTTGCTTGTTGAATGCACCCTGCAGGCTCTGCATCCCCCGCGCAGCCGCGATCTCGAGGCGCTAAGGTATGAGCCGCTCACCCGACTTGCCAAAACGGGCGATGTGCTTCAATGACTCAGACTTACCCAGTCCATGCAGCACGGGCTCTTTGGAATCGTTTGTGCAGGACGACCCGACACCACAGACATCAAGGCGTACAGCAATGGGAGACCAGGCGCACGCAGAGGACCCGCCTTCATGTCGAACAGCCACGTGTGGCACATCCCCAGAACAACCAACTGCAGATGGTACATGATGGTACCGTTGCAGGGGTATCGACACAAGCCACCATGATGCCTTCGCCGAGGGCTCACGGCTACAGCTCCCCAGGCCCTGCTCCGGATTCCTCCTGTGGGCACTGGCACTCTGGGTGCCTCTGATACCCGCTTGGCCTTCTCATCTGAGGGCACCTTGTACTTCCTACCGGAGGAGACTCATAGCACACAGGCTTGGGCGGGGGACAGATTGGTGACGGTTGCCTTGCTAAGCCAGCTCGGCTTTGCACTACCCACAACAACCCAGCTCATGATGGAATGAGCTCGGGAGGGTGTGAAGTGAGACTGGAGTGGCGGAAACGCCACCGAATAACGTGAGAGCGACCGCGGTAGATCACGTCGCTGCAGCCTGGCCTAGCGACACACGATGACACACGCACAGACAGACACACACACAGACACACAGACACGCAGACACACACACACGCACACAGACATGCACACAGACACACAGACACACCGTTTCGAACGACTTCTATCCAATGACACCGATCGCTGCTTTGAACAAGGCCTGGCACTCCGAGAAAACAATCATGACTGCTGTTGTATCGGACCCTCTCGATTCTAGTTGCTGCTGCGGTCTGCCTCGAACAAGACTTGGCTGAACTTCGACGTGGAGGTTATCGTACCCTACTGTGCTGAAAACATCTCGTCATCTTTGCGAATCTGGCCTGACAGATGCGTCAATCCGCGCCTGCAGCCTGCTTGCGGCCGCTATTCAAACTTCCCGGTGTCCGTTCGCCCGACTGCTGCGATGCCTCTCCGGATTGCTTGCATTCCATTTGTGCCAAGATGTGCCAAGTCTGTTCAGAGGAATTGTCTTTCGAAAAGACGTCCATGGAAGCTCCCGGCCACGAGCAGTTTTCACACAACGTTAAACATGCCTCTTCGGCAAGGACGGCGTGACACGACAAACCGTTGGAGTGGTATTCGCTCGCTTTGGTCGAACTGTTCATCGGGCATTGGGGCAGCGATGGACAGTGTGTCTGGCCAGCTCATTTTGTCACATGGGCCTCCAGCCACTGCGGATTCAAATTATGGTGAAACGGTGAGACTGCCTGTTCCAAACACCAGCAACACAGGCAAGCAACTGTGTCCTATGGTCTTCGTTCTTGGCTGAACGACGCCGAGTTCACGTAACGTCCGCAACAGTCAGTGCATGTGCCATCTTCATTGCCAACAGCCTCTCAGGCTCTCAGGCCTGAGCCACTGGACCTTCAAAGGCATAGCCGGCGAGTCGTCTGACACGTGCTACCATGCGTGAATTTATCGAGCAAGCTTGGAAGCATGAGTCTTTCTCACCGCAGAATCAGCACAGTGCTTGCCAAACTCTCCAAAACATGCCTCCCTATGATGGCAAGCCTTCCTCTGCCATTGCCAAAAAAAGCAATTGAACGTGGTCTTGTGTGAAGCTTCCAGGAGTCTCGCACAGTGCTGGTACCGGGGCATGCTGGGGGCATGTGATGACGACACACAGCTTCGATCTGTGAAAAGGTTCGTTCGGTTCTCCTGTCGCCAAGACAGGACCACTGGAGGCGCGCCAGATCACGCATATTTGAAGTCCGGGTAGAAGATGTAGGCACCTCTTCACACGAGTGAGCGCGCGGCTTCCATATCAGTGTAGCATCCTCCCGCGCTCGGCAATACGGACTTAAACGCTTCACTTGCCCAGGTACGCCGGCGGCGCATCTGTGGCCCCTCAATGTAAGTCGTTCCAGCATTGAACCTGGGAATGATGACGGTTAACCGCTTGCGGAATCTCTCTGCGCCTCCGCCTTCCGAGTGTTGTGGGGCATGACATACTCTGATGTCTGTACGACATCTCAATCTCAACTTCAAAATGTCGGCTGAGAGACTTTGCTTGGTCCCACTGGCACTTCTGAACTTCCTTAGAACGGAGGGTCGGCACACTCTGGTCGTAGTTGCTTTTTGCTGGATTCGAGCTGAGCTACATCCCACCACTTCATGCACTTCTTTGCTGCCACCTCCGGCTGGCTTTCAAACTGATGGACCTGAGTTGAGGAAAACGAGGGTAAACTGCTTAACGGTCGTTGGTGACAGGCAGACCGAAGGCTGAAACGAATGATTGTGAAGCTGGCCAAGCCACGTTCAAACAGCGAAATTCCTCAATCTGCAGGTACTTGCAGGCATCCTTTGGGGAATCCTGTGCAATGGACACTGGACACCCCAGCATTGCACATTCGCAAAGCTTGCTAGGCGTGTCGTGGGCCTCGCACGCGACAATCCGATTCGATCCCCCATGCAAGTGCCAAATTGCAAAAGGCAGATGTATCGGCAACCATGCTACTCGTCAACACGATCGGCATTTCAGTAACAAGTCCAGCGCAACCAGGTTGAAAGACCAAGCACAACAAACGGCTTCATTCCGCCACTAAAAATGACCCCGCCTTGTGCACCTTGTCCGAGTAGTCGGCGACAGCCACGCGGATATCTTCGGCCGTCTTGGTCGCGGCGTATTTCCTGAGCCCGAGCAGCGGAAGAATCCCACCTCCTGTGACTGGGGCAAATCTGGATGACACGACATGGTGGGTAACGTATGGTAACGTTGCCAAGCTTCTCAGGCACATAAAGACCATGATGATAAGCCACAGCGCCTCACTGTCTGAGGATGTTACGATCAACACCTTACTGCAGCTACGATTGATCTGTTGCTTCCGGAGGTTCGGAGGGTGAGGCAACTGTCCTCAGAACGGCTCAGGGCTAATATCGTTTCTCTTGAACCGCTCGCAGATAATCAAGATTACAAATGAATGAGCTTGCACGGGCATGCGGCACTCTTCGCTGCAGCACAATTCAAACATAATCACTTGCTCGCCTAGTCGACAGGAGAACAGCCCTTGCACAGGACACACTCGGTTTCACGGGACGTTGCATGCAAGAACCTTATATACACCTAAGCACACAGCAACCACTTTGGCCCAAGATGGTTCGAATCAGAATCGAAAAACCACACCGGCTCATACGGAGCCTTGCTCGTAAGACAACCACTGTCTCAGCAAGCACACAGTTAACTCTGGAGATAATGTTGCAAAAATGCTGGCGGCGGCGTTGTAGAGCTTCCATCTATGAAAGCGGAAGGGATACCAGCAGTTCTAGCTTCGTCTTGAATGCTCCAAAATGCCGGCGCATCTGTAAGTTTTACTGTGAGCTAACTGCCGGCATTTACTAAATGCTAACTACTTTGACAGTCGACCCCTCTCTCCTAAGCAGTTCGAGAGCCTGTAGCTAACCGCTTCAGTCTGGAAGGCCTGTGAATTATTATTTGCAGAGACACCGACGGGCACAAGCAGCACAGTATAGAGACAACGTACCCACGTGTCCACAACACGGATCGTTGTCTCTATACAAGGTACTCATTCCAGTCCATAGCTTGAGGAAATCTTGCACCACCTACTTCGGTGAGCTAGCAAGTGTATTTAAACCATCACCTAATCACCCCGCACCCTGTTTCTATTTTGTTTCGAGTCTTTTTCTGGGGCGGTGCCCAATTCGTGTCACCAGCAAGTCCTGAACACTGCAGTGTCAAGGCAACGTTGGAAACCAGAGATCAGGGGAGGCCTACTTTGCTTATGTTTTGAGTGGTGCAAGACTTCCTGCGGCACAGCGTCTTTTTTCGGAGCTCTGACTAATGCGCAAATCATAGATACCGGGCAAGCGTCGCTCCCATTTTGATGAGAACATTGGCTTCGCATTGGCATGCACCTCTGCGTGCGAGGGTAACTTGAAGTCTTGGTCCTGCGGCGAGGTGCAAGGCGTGCAAGGTTCGGAGCCACCCTTGCACTCGAGAATTCCCATGCCACCCCTGTCAATTGCACCTGGAAATGCACCTCTTCTTACTTCAGTGTCTTTGTACGTGCGGAGGCTCTGCTTGTTACTTTCAAGCATCATGCAGCTGGAGTCATAGAGCTTCTTTGCTTTGCTCAGGGAGACAGCTTTTTTTTTTATCTTTCTCTCTGTCTCTCTCACTCTCTCTCTCTCTCTCTTCGCTTCGCTTCGCTTCGCGGGGGTAAGGTCCAAAGGACCCGGGCCAAGGCCCCCCCTTTCTTCACACGATTGTGGAAGAGGGGCATTGGGGTCAAAGTAGTCGGAGAACTTTCCCTATGGATTGTGTGAGTTGTGGAGATTGCCTGGTAGAGACTCCCCCCAACCCTGAACACTAGCCCGCATCCCGGCCTCATCCCCGCGCCCACTACAGTATGGCAAGTTCCTTAGTCCCTACACCATGCAATTTCCCCCCACTTCGAATACGGTGGCAGCCCCCTTGTAAAGTGCAAACACACCGAGGACCAGATTAAAGAAACGTAGAAAACGAGGAACAGTGTAGGCTGGCTCCCCCCGTTGCAAAAGGCTTCTAGCTGGGTTCCTGTTTAAAAGCTGAGTGAAAAGGTCGGCGCGACTCAGTCTCGTTGCCAATTTTAGTTATGCAATGGGTGCAAGGTTGGGGCATATGGCCCCGTTGGCAATAGGTTTGTATGGCTCCGGCGGCCCGTCATGAATTAAGCACTGTGGGAAAGCGGTAGTTGAACCCAACGACACAGGCAAGGCACGAAGCCAGTGTAAAAGCGAAGGAAACAATAGTTCTCTCTCCCCCGCATGTGCTATAGGCTCGAAAACTTTTGCCAGACTCACGCTCACTTGTGTTCAGCACTCGACCTCGTTGAAGCTTCTCCCCGGCTGAGCTGCATATGTTGCTGTACTTGGTAAACCTGCCACTGTAAGTTGGGAACGAGCTCCACGCGACGGCGTGCCGGTGGGTCCCCCTCTGGTTCAGTTGGCTGTACCATCCAAGTGCGGCTGTACTTGTGAGGAAGTTCCCCGTCCGGCTCATTGGGCCGTGTCATCGAAAGGCGGTTCCTTTGAGGAGGATCCCCCGCCGGTTCACTGGGTCGTTGTGCTCCATGTGGACTGAAAACCTTGCCAGCTCCGTGCCGCGACCACATGTCTTCCCCCTCGTCGTTGGGTTCCTTCTGGCTTGCCTCCTGTTCGTCGCTGCCTTCCCCCCCTGTCGGGTTTGTGAGGAGGCTCCCCCGTCGGCTCACTGGGTTGTTGTGCTCCATGTGAACTCGAAGGTTCACCAGCTCCATGCCATGGCCAGTCGTTGTCCCCCTCGTCGTCGGTCTTTGGCTGGCTGTCTGCTTGGTCGTCACTGTCCCTCCCCCAGTCGGGAGGTGTCTCTGGTACGGTTGGCTGTGCTTGCTCTGCCTTGCTCTTCTGTTGGTCTGTCTGCGGGGTCACTGCGGCGAGCCTAGGTGGCGGCCTCCCCCGAGTTCCCCCTTTCTTGGTTTTGATCCGGTTTCGGATCTTCCATGCACGTTGTAACATAGTGGGGATTTTGGCCGGGTACTTCATGGCGTAGATACGGTTCTCTGCAGAGACCGCCGGCATCCATTTATCAACGATGCGTGCAAGTCTGTCTGCCATCTCACCTGTACGGTGCCGATCGCATAGTCGGCGGAGGTAGTTTTCATATTCTGCTACCTCGGGAGGGCTTAAGCGTTCCCCCGTGCTGGTGTCTTGGTACTGTCCTTCGCTGTCTGTCACGATGGCCTTGCCTATCCACCGGTCTGCTTCCTCGGGCTTGTGCTGCAAGTGAAGTCCCCCTGCGGTTCGAGAGAGCGTCCGTGCTTCTTGGGCTGCTGGGTCCCCCGCTGGTGTTCGGGCTGGCGCTGCGTCAGGGTGTGGTTGCTCAGGTGCCTTAGGCCTTGCATTGCGTTGGGCCAGAGTGTGCAGCCTGCATTGCGGATCACTTTTCTCATGCTGCTTGCGCATCCCCACCTGGCAGATGCCTGAACCAACACGGCATACTTTGCACCTCTTCATTCTTTAAGGCAAACTTCACCAGGTCTTCCTGCTTCGATTGTCACGACCTCTGAGTTCCAAAACTCCCCCGCCCAACGGCGAAGTAGTGGACGCGAAACTCAAGGTGGTTTAGGTCAGGGTCCTCGCGGTAGAAGATTTCCACGTCCCCCTGCAGAAGGTTCGGGAGGAAGCTCTTACAGTGTCCAGGTTGTCCACAGGGCTGTAGCACAATGTACTTGCCCTTCTCGATTATAGCGCGCCCCCTGCTACAACTGTCAGTGTGCCACTGGAGCAAAGTGGCGTCACGCGTGACAGCTCAAGCACCGCTGGGAAAGACAGGAAGGCTCCCCCAGGCCAACAACCTGGGTCAACCTCCTATCTCCCCCCCGATGCAAGAGGGCGGCACAGGCTCCCAAGCAACGGTGCAGCACTTGAGCCAAAATGGCTGCGGCTCTCTCTCTCTCTCTCTCTCTCTCTCTTTCTCTCTCTCTCTCTGATGGCGATGCTCCTTCTCCAGATCCGGCGTCTTCACTTCACTCTGGACCGGGAGCTCCTGGCAACTGCTCGAGCAACCCGACCTGCCCCAAGCCCTGCTTCTGCCGCGCCTCACATCGCACAAAGCGCCCTTGCCTCAGACGTGATCTCACTAGTGCGCGGGACTGGATGGAGGCTGCACGACAGTGTTATATGCATCACGCTGCTGGTTGCCCATTGGTACTGCAAGGCCGGCAGAAGTGCACTGGTCGAGCGTGCAGACAGGGAAGCGACAGGCTTGAGCCTTTAGAGCGAAGGAATGTACGACGGTCTCGTGTTCCTTCATTCAACGCAGCATAATTGTATGACTCCAAGAAGGGCATGCTGTAAAGCGAGCCATCAAATGAGCCGAACAAAATCACATTAGACGCTAGACTGACTATGCTGCTGCCTTCACTGCCAGCATGCTATCTTGTCTGGTCAATTATATTTCTGTCCTGCAGCTCCCCGCCTTCAGACGGCTACTGCTGGCTGTGACGCTTCGCTGCACTGCGAAGGAATTTTGTCCATCCTACAGCATTGCCGGAGACGTGCGCAAGCGACCCCTTGACAGATTAGTACACTCTAGGCTGCGACTCCTGCACCGACCACATGTGCGAGCATTGCAGCTGGCGTCTTGCTCAGGCTCTGAGATGCTGGCACAGGGGATGGTGAACAGGTGCTCGTGACCTCTGCCGTGCTAGATGTGCTGACTATGTGCTGGGCATTCCTCCACACACAACACACCCGAAAGGACGTCCTCAAACGGCAATGGACACCACCCGGCAGAACCGAGTCAGACTTCCTTCGTGATGAATCTCTACCGGAGCACTTGCGCAGGGCTTAGTGAGGCTTCTCAACCAACCCTTGCTTGCAGGCATCATGCACCTCTCATCTGAGCCAGGAGAGGTGCAGTGGCTGAGCAGCAAGACACGCTGCTGGTTTGCAACACAGCTTACCAAGCCCAGAGATTGGAGTCTGTGCTCAATTACATCAGGATGATTCGCAGGCGTACAAACCACGGATCGGGAAACAACAAGTGAAGTTGTGCAACAAGAGGAAATCATGGCAAATGCTGCAACTGCGAAGTGAGGAAGCAGTAGCCGAGAACCACTTGGGTTGGGGAGAAGTAGGTTGGGGTAGGCGGTTGTGGTGCTGCAACCTAATGACCTAATGAAGGGCAGGGCGGACTGCATGCAGGGATGGGCAGGGGAACGCAGATCGGGGTCAGCGCCGGGCGACGGACGGCAAAGAGGTGCCTTTGTCCTTTGTTATGATCCTCTGGTCATGTCTGGTCCGTCCATGATATCCTTTGACCTTTGACTCACACCATTTGTGCCATGCTTTGTCAGCCACTGTGGGGAACTACCACCATTAATAAGCGAAGCGGCCTGGCCTCCATCCATCCCCACTCCATGCCAATGTTTGCTTGTAGTGCCCCAGTGCCACCACGGAAGCGACGTCCCAAGCCTTACGGTCCTAGCCCTGAAAGCTGTCCCACACATCTACGTTTCCCTTCGCAGTTCGTAACAACGCCCCTGGGCATGGTTTTGCTGGGGGATGGATGAATCAAGCCGACGCTGGTCGGTCTGGCCGCTGCGCAAGCTGCTACTTGTAGGTTCAATCTGAAACAGTCTCTCGACTTTTCGCTCTCGCAACATCATTTAACCCTCCACCAAGCCGAGGGATGAAGCTTCTCTCACACAACTCCAGCGGATCGGTGACTTGCGCGGCAAAGTGACACTGATCGTGTCCCGCACACGGTCGACTTCAGTCCTCGTCGAATGGCTCATCCAACGAAGTGCAGCTCTGTAGGAGGCATGTGCAAATTGCATGTTAAGGCCAGGCTCGGAGTCAATCTCTCCACAGCGTCTCCTGAGCCCATGTTGCCCACATTATCAAGGGGTGGAGTGGACACCGGTCAAGAATCACTTTGAAGCCATCTCGGTATTTCTCAGGCAACGACCGACAGGTGCTGTACGCTGGTCAGCCTGTGCCACACACGCTCGTTACAAATGAAACCACAAAATAGTCTTTCCAGATATCCCCAGGCTTTTTCATTCTCAAACCTGTTTCCACAGCGTCTCTTGAATGTCATCATTCGAATCTCCTGAACGGTCAGGCGATTTAGCATAGTCAGCCGCCAAAGGACGTTTGCTAAAGCATGTGCTTGTTGCTCCACCCCTCCAAGTCCACTCGAGGGCAAAGCCCTCGCCCTTGTCACCCGCCCAACTCACCCTCGCACTGCTCGCAGGCATCAAACTACGCGTTTCATGTGTCATCCACCCAGTCACCTCCTTCTCACGCACCGAGCCCGCTGCATCGCTTTACCTGAAGGCCGTTGCATGTCGTTCATGTCACTTCGTTTGGTTTTGGGTTCCGTTGAACTGTTAGAGTATGTTACAGCTGGTCTACCAGGTTGATTATGACGATGTATGGCGATGATTAGTGTGATCGGTGGCGGGTCGTGATGCAACGGCTGACGGTGATGCTGGTGCACGGCGGTGGTGGTTGTGGTGGTGTTTGGCTTTGCAGACGAAGGCCGTCAAGCTGTGGTGCTCCCAACCTCAAACCGCACTCCGGTACGATACCTGATGCAAAATTGAAGAGCCTGCCAGAGTTTAGCTCATGGTCGTTCTGTGCTTCACGTTTATGCTGGCAGAAAAAGTCAACTCCGGAGATGCCCGAGAGATGCAAACGAGCTCGGTAGCTGTCCAATGCCCGACTTTGTTGCTCGGGTTTTGAGGGCCAAAGGTGGGTGGCCGTGTGGCTGTGCATGCCCAGCTGACATGCATGGGCCTCGCCATCCGAGTCTGCAGGCAGAACTGCACAGCGCCACGCTCCCGAGTTCCTGCGGACGTTTCCATGTGCTATGGCCGGCTTCGATTCACGACATGATCTGCTCAACCGAGGCCCAAACATGCCACATCCAACCTCGGCTGAGTCTTGCAGAGGCAAACGCCGTCGCCAAGTTCGCTTCATCTGTTTTCCTCAATTCTGATAGGCAGGGCCCCGCCAACCGGACCGCCTCCCGTGAGGAGCAGCTCTGACAGGTTTTCCTCCCTCACTCTGCGGCTCTGACTCTCTCCGTCCTCCGTCTTGTCTCATATGTGCTAAAAAGGCGCACACAAATGAGCTCACATCACTGAGCTCCGAGGCGTCCAAACTGCACATGTCTCACAAAGGCGACCTGCGTGCCTTGTGCAGGCTCCATTGCCCGGCTCAAGATCTAGTCGCACTACTCCACAAAGGCACATGAACCGAGACTTCTCAGACACACAGAGCACCCAACGTGTCCTCCAACCAGATCATGATGTGGACGAAACTACCCGACTACCGCATCAGCACTGCGAGGCTTTCGGGCCCTGGCCTTGCCACACTGCCTCCCCTTGCTCCGCTTCCCACGTCTCTTCTGGGCCGTTCTTCATGCCGGTTGTGACTCTAACCGGGCGCCGTTATGCCCTGCCGGGCCATTCTTGTCTCGAAGGTTGGTCCACCATGCTTTACGGTCCCTCAAAGGAAGTTCAAAGGCTGGTGTGCGCTGTCTGTGTCTATGGACCAGACTTTTCATGTGCTCTTGTGTTCGAAACGCGGTCTCCACGTACCAGTCGGCCCTAAACGGAAGGCGTCAGGAAGAAGCAGCAGGACTGAGGTGGTGCAGCCACGGTCGAAGCCTACAATGCTTCTGGACAAAGGTTGAGTGGACCTGCGTTGGCCGATGTGTTTTGGCTGATACTGTCCATTTTTCTGCTCCTCCCTTTCGGCCTGCCTGCCCTGTCGGTGCGTTCCTTATCTTTTGCTTTGAGCGTTATGCTCTGACCGTTTCTGCATGTTGGTGGCCTTCCCAACTCACGCCGCAGTCCCACCGCCCGCCCGCCGGCGCTCACACACCCACTCACCCTTCCGCGCCCCCCGCCCGTCCCAAGCACAAAGAAACAATACATCACGCTGCGCTTTCCGTCACCCACTTTTCCCTGCTCAATTCGCGCCCTCTTGCTGCTGTCACTGTTGTCGTGACGGGTTTAAGTGTCTGCTGCTTGTGTGACTGGCCTTTCTCGCGGCAAAGTCGTTCTTGCGGCATGTTGCGGCCGTAAACTAACTAGTTTTCCAACCCTCCACTTTTCAGCACACGAAGCTGTGAAAATGTGCGGTACCTTAACAAGCGGACTGCTGCAACCTGGCATGCGGCAGGACAAGTGCATACAGGTCGGGCGAGGGTTCCGTGTATGCGGCGGCCATATCCCATCCTACCCCATCGCAAACGGCGGTAGTGTTGCGCAGTTTGCGGGTTGCAGCTAACCGGTTACTCGTTCATATTGTTCGTTGTTAATTTTCCGTTCTTCTTACCGTCCGACGCTGCTTCTCGTGTTGCCGACGCGCTCCAACACCGAGTGTTGTTCGGTCGTTCTATCGTTCTATGCTTCTGTGACGTACGGACAAACATGGAGGTGTCCGAGGAAAGCAAACCCTTGGTTAAGGCAGCAGCTTCATGCGTCATCGCTCGTTGAGTGCAGGCTCCTACACCACAAAGGCAGACCTGCAACGCGTTGCAGAGAAACACCACGAACCGAAAACACAATCTCGGCAAAGCATTGTCACGAGGCTGCAGCCGCCAAAGCAGTTCGGTTCGCAGGAGAACCTCAAGTGTGCGTTGTGCGATCATGTGCGATCTATCTTTGCTGCTGATCGCTGCTGTCTCTGTCTTTCTCACTTTTAGAAGTCCGTGCGCTGGTCACTTGGGTCCAAGCGATTCGCAGTGCGAGCTTCGAACGGAAGGTAACAGGACGACGCTAACTACAACCGTCCGGGTCTTCCGTTTGCCGGATGCCGGACTTTTGGAGGTGAACGAGAGCGACAGGATGCAACAAGTGGCAGGATAGCCAAAGCAATTTCTGGCCGCGACATACCGTGACCATCTCCCGCGTTCTTGCTCATAGTCTTTTTCTCCTCCTTTCTCTAACTTTCTCTCGCATCCGCTGCCCGTGACTTGCCAGCTCTCTGCATCTCTCGTTCATTCTCTCTGTCTTTCCCCAACTCCTTCTTTCTTTCTTTTTCGTTCACCAGGCTTGAGGGCTAGTCATGAGGAGGTGTATCGAAAGCCTCAACGGTGTCGTTGTGAAAACTCCTCCTGTAATCTTCGCATCTGCGGACCTTTCGTTTCCCATCCGATCCCACCTGAACCACTGAAAAGGCCCAGGCGATGCAAGGCTTTGCATCCGGACATGGCTGAAGGGGACGGGCACTGCCGGCCGTGACCAACCGACCGGGGCCTCGAATGGGCCCTCCATGCGACCCTCACGAACCTCGGCGATAACTTCAAACAACAAGGACTCCCACTCCTCGTCGACCCGGGGTCGCCTCAGTCTCTCCTGAACATGGCCCTCATTCAGTCGCACGAATGACTCAAAATCGGTTGGAGCACTGTATTTGCCATCGGTGCGTGGCAGCCAGCCGGCTGTTGGCCGGATATGCCCGACCATGGGCATGCCCCCAGACAGCTCGTCGCCGGGGGCGTCGACGTCGGGATAACC